GGACAAACAAATCAAACTCCGAGACGGGCAGCGAGTGCTGTCACCAGAGGAATTGAAAAGGAAAGTGTATTGCAAGTGGCATGGGAGTTATACACATGCTACCGCCAATTGTACGTACCTACGAAACACAATTCAGAAGGCTTTAGACGAGGGTAGACTGAAGCTAGCAGAAAAGAGTATGCAGGTGGATGCGAATCCGTTTCCTGCACCATCCATCAATACCATGTCTACAAGAGGTCTCAAGGAACAGAACAAAGGAAAGCAACCGGTTCGGCAATCGGTTTACGAACGACTCGGGCCCAGGATTCCACAACGGGGTTCAGTGTTCAATAGGCTGTCTGTAAGAAAGACGCCTAATGGAAATGTTGGAAATAAGGAGCCTAGGGTCGTAGAAAGGAGCCCTAATCTGAAAGTGACAATTCTGAATGCCCAGGAAGTTCGGGAGCATGACTTGGAGCATGCAGAAGTTGGCAGCAGTTTTTATCCCGATAAGCATGACTTGGAGCATGCAGAAGTTGGCAAGGCTGTATATTCAAAACGTGGTGAAGAGGTATGGAGTTCCGGAGGTGATTGTCTCGGACCGCGACCCCCGTTTTCAGTCGCATTTTTGGCAAAAGCTTCATAAAGAGTTTGGTACTCGGTTAAGCATGAGTACGGCCTTTCATCCGATGACCGATGGGCAGACTGAACGCACCATTCAGATTTTGGAAGATATGTTGCGAGCTTGTGCATTGGATTCTCAAGGCCGATGGGAGGATCAGTTTGCTCTAGTGGAGTTCTCCTACAATAATAGCCATCAAGCGACCATTGGGATGGCACCCTTTGAGGCTTTGTATTGGAGAAAGTGTAGAACGCCGTTGTGTTGGAGTGACCTAAGCGTATTGGGGCCCGAAATGATTGAGGAGATGATGAATCAGATTCGTAACATCAAGGCTAAGATGAAAGCCGCCCAAGATCGCCAGAAGAGTTATGCCGACCTTGCTCGGAGGGATGGGCATTTTAAGGTGGGTGATCATGTATTACTTAAGGTCTCACCGACGAAGGGTGTGAGGAGATTTGGTATTAAGGGAAAGTTGAGCCCAAGGTATGTAGGGCCGTACGAGATCATCGAAAGGATTGGAGAGGTGGCCTACAGGTTGGCCTTGCCGGAGACATTGAGAAGGGTTCACGATGTTTTTCATGTCTCTCAATTGAAGAGATACGTGGCTGACCCATCTCATATACTTCAGCCGGAAGTCTTGGATCTTCAGGAGGATTTGGTGTACTCAGAGCAACCTATTCAGATTGTGGCTTTCAAAGTTAGATCGACACGGAACCGTGAGATAAGGATGGTGAAGGTAGTGCGGTCGCAGCATGGGGTTGAAGAAGCGACATGGGAAACCGAGCAAGAAATGCGAGGAAAATATCCAGAGTTGTTTTGAGGTAGCTCCGGGCGTGCAGATCGATTTTGAGGACGAAATGTCCTAAGGGGGGATGGATGTAATACCCCATAAAATAATCGCCGGAAGTTTGCCGGAGTCGGACAAATTTCATTTTGGGCATAATTTATTTTGGGTCTTTTAGTGTAATAAATTAAAGAGTTGGGTTTAAATTAAAAGTAAAAATTGAATTTGGGCCAAAGTAGAATAAAATAATTAATAAAGGACTAAGTATGTTATGTTAAATAAAAGAATAAAATAAAATAAAAAAAGGGACAGCAGCAGCAGCCAGCACGTCCGCCAGCGCCGCCGCCAGCCCCCTGTTCTACCTTGGAGTTCTTCTTCTCCAAGATTCTTCCTTTTGGTCTCTTATCTTGAGGTAAGTGAGATTAATCTTAGATAAATTAATATGTTCTAATCCCTAAACCCTTCTATTGGTATGTTTTTCAATATTCTTGTCAAATGAGTTTGCCCTAAAAGTGTTAGGTTTTGCCAATTTCTTCTAGAAAGTTGATTATAATGTTTATGTGAAGATTATTATTGGATTCTAAATTGAAAATTGTGGAATTTATAGGATGGGTTCGAAACCCTAGTTTTTCCCTAACCTAGTTATGGTTTTTGGAAAAAGATTTACGATTATATTTAAATATTATGATTTTTGGAATTAGACCATGCCTATTGTGATTGAAATTTTTTTCGGATGTTTATTTGGCGAAATAAAGTGTTGGGTCTAATATATCCTACTTTGCATGGTTAAATGTTGACAATTGGAATATTTTGAGTTTAATACACTCTTTGTGAAATTTGCCTAAGAGCATGTTGAGTATTTGGTCAAATTGGTAATTGAAACTACCCTTCGAGTCCGATCAACTCGTCGATTGTTTGGATGATAAGGCATAGCCTTCCACCTCTGTGCCTTGCAAACACGTGAGGGTATGCCGGTATTTTAGGATAACTAGCTAACCTTGAACTAGATCCCGAATGCGCTAGGTCGAGGGATCGAGATGGCGGGTTCCCTTTTAGGGTGATTCCGAGGTGCCCGTCATTCACGATGGAAAGGTCTTTAGATCGTCATCCGTGATGGAGGGATGGATTGCGTACAATCCCCTCTTGGTATGTTATATTGGAGACTAGAGGGTTGTGGGCCGTATGGCGCCCCTCGCAAACTAATAATAAATTGATTTACGTGTACTTTGGATTTCGAACACTTATGTACACATTGTGGAGTTTCCTTTGAGGGTTATGACCCTATGTTGTTATGTGAAATTATGTGACGTGTCATACGAAGTAATAAGGTTAGAAAACCGGGTTGAGCCGGCCCTGATTAAGGCCTAGTGGAGTTTTCTTCATGATGTGCTCATCGCTATTATTCAAAAATGAAAAGAAGGTATAAGGGAGACGCTAAAAGACTCGTGTGTGTGAGTTCCCCTTATGTGATACGTGTCATTTTATTCGACTATCTTCTTCAAATGATTTTGTGGCATTATATCGTATTGATTTATCTTTGATTAATTGCACTTACTCAACCGTTGTGTTGACTCTCTTTTTACAATTCTTTTTGTAGGTGATCATGTTTCCGTTATGCCTAAGTGATGCATTCACGTCATATGATCCATCGGGGGAAATGAGAACTACCTTACCTTCTAAAATATTTTGAAATTCACCTATCGTGTTTAAAGACTAATGCATTTTGAACTATTTCCAATTTATGTTTTTTATTCAAACTTTATTTACTTAATTGATAAGCCGGTGCGCTTTAATTCTAAGTTTCTATTAGTTGTTGGTATTTATTATTTAAGCCTTAGCGCCACAACGTAGGACTCGTTGGTTGATGAACGAGCATTCCGGTGTGGCGTGGCGGTGACGCTCCGGTTTGAGCCGGCCGGGGTGTTACAGGTGACCTGACACGTTCCCAGAAAAGAAGGGCACAAAGGAAATGACTACAGGTTAGGTTGGAAGCTGAAGGTGTTCAGCCAAATTAGAAAAGTGCAGGGTTTAAAGGCAAGAAAATTGAATCGGAAATTCAGCAAGTAGCAAATCAGGACGGAAAAGTCTCAGAAACCTGTGAGCAGAATGAGAGACCTCAGAAAAATCATGAGTTACAACCTCGCATAATTTTCTCTACTCCAAACGCCAGACCGACTCCAAACTGGCAGCTTCGATGGGTGCCGAAAACTGTACAACCAAAAGAGTGTGGTTCCGGAGATGGTCATCTATCAGTCGTGGGGGTATTGCCTTCTGAATTCAAAGCTCCAGAAGGGGAGTAGAGTTATGAGGGAGTGACCGTAGATGAAGTACCAACGGCAGAATGGAACGATATAGTGACAACAGTCACTTTTGATCGAATCGGGTCCGGGCAGAATAAACACGTAAAACCCCTGTACATTCAAGCTTTAATGGAAGGACGACCAGTGGGCAGAGTATTGATAGACGGCGGCGCATTCGCCAATGTAATGCCATTTCGGACGTTCAGAAAGTTAGGAAAGACAAGGGATGATTTAATACCAACTTCGGTGCGAGCTACGGATTTTATGGGGAATTCGTATAAACCGGCGGGAATCGCTAATGTGGAGGTACAAGTAGGCACTGTTGGATTATACTGTAAAGCAAACTTTTAGTACGCTTTTGTATTATTCAATTTCCTTATTAACTGGAATAAATAAATTGTTATTTCACATTGTGTTGCTTTTATTTATGTTTTATATATATTAGCATGTCCACTTATTTAATATTGTAGACAACATGGTGTGTGGAGATCACACAGAAGATCTTGTTGTCAGTTCTTTATTAAATATAAATGGGTTTCACAACTGAGATGGTTATGGACAAAACCATCGGTTTAAGTTGTAGTGTAAACTTGGAATTAGTTTGTCTTGACTATTAGTTTACACTAATGTGCTGCGTCACATTGAAAGGATCACAGTTGAGATATGTTCTTCTATTCTGACATTGAAGAACCAAGATCTCGGTAACTCTGTTAATTCTTAACCTTAGATGAAATAAATTAAATATATGGAATAAATGTTCGTTGCTTTAATTTACCATAAGTGAGAATCCTTAGTGATTCAATATGCTTCGTATTTTGGGCAACTACATTATTCGCATAGTAATTAATTTATTATCATTAAGGCACCATGTCCTGGACATCCAGGTTGATGACATCCCCTTAAGGAACTCAATAAGGATTATTGTATAAACCCTGCAGGTGGATTTAATCCGTACAATAATAAGTTTTGAGTGGTATTACTTAAGGAATTAAAAGATATTAATTAATTAAATTGTCAGAAGATTTAATTAATTAATGGATGTGGAACATCTTAAACATGGGGAATTAATTAAGTTTAATAGAAGCCCAGATTCAATTTGGGTTGGGCTGGGAGTGCAATATTAATTCTTTAATGGAATGAATTAATATTTTATGATTCGAATTATATTCAGGGCTGAATATAGAGATTTGGATCTATAAGGGAGCCCGAGCCCAACACCTTCTAAAGATCCCCGGTCTGGCCCAATTACCTGTTGGGAGACTTATTAATATGCGGTCTTTGTCAAACCCCAGTGACGTTTTTTTTAAAAGAGGCGAAAACCACAGGTGCAAGCCGTCAGCTCTAGGGTTTCACGAAGAGCAAAATTCGTCTCCCTCCGTTTGATAGATCGCCGCCCATCCGGTGTTCGAGCGGGGTTCGGGAACAGTCTGGAAGGTCTCTAGCGGAATCAACCTGTTCGTGATTGCTGTTGGTGGTTCCAAAAAGGGTACATCTCTAGTTCATTCTTATAGGAGCATGCTTAGGATCGTTTAATACCATGTATGTACGCGTTGGCATCCAACAATGATTCGTGGGAATGAACAGCCCTCACCGGCGTGTTCCTACAATTGGTATCAGAGCAAGGTTTCGTGGATTGTTGGCTCTGCCAGAAAACGTGTAGTTGGTATTGTCTTTAACGTTTTCGCATGTAATGTATGGAATGAATATTTTTTTTGTGCGTGTATGTTGTTTCCCTTCGCAGCCCTTTTGGTTTTGTTGTAATCGTTTTTCCCACCAGATAATAAGTGTGGGTAGATAGGCGGTTTTGTATATAGATCCATGTATGTAGGGCTTTTCATGTTGTTTTGAGTTATACTGCGTAATTCTGAAAAAGACATGAAAAAGGGAGGCGATTTGGAAGCAGTTCGCATAAGCAGAACAGCCACGAACGCAGTGGGGCAGCGAAGCAGAGGTGGCGCTGGAGGTAAGGGCGGACATGAGGCTTGTAGTGACGGCCAAGAAACAATTTTTGGTGATGGAAATTAGGTTTTCGGCTTTTGGGCCGAAAATCTAGGGTTTCCGTCGGCTGAAACTGTTTTGGCCATAACTTTTGCCTCGGTTGTCCGTTTTCAGCCCATGATACCTTTTCGGAAACGGGAGGACGAGATCTACACGAATTACAGCTATGCCGTAACGGCGAATGCCACAGCCAAATTCGATCGTCTTCAGGAAGTTTTCGCGACTTCTTCCTGAGGCGGCCCGGTTCCAGTTTTTCCATCGCGTGAGAGGCCGATGTCTAGCATCTGTCCGCGCCCCTTTTAATCCTGTAATGGTTGTCTTAGGCTATTGGTTAGGGTTTTAAGGGCTGCGTGGGTGTGCTTTTAATTTTCTGCCTTTTATTGCTTTGTGGATGTATTTAAATTAATGCTTGCCAAAGTATTATGTGATATGCATGATTATGTGACAGGCATGATTTAAATTTACAAGCATGTTAGGAGCATGCTAGGAATTTAATTATTCTATGCATGCTGTCAAAACCTTAAAGTTTAAATGACTAAGTATTTAAGTTGAATTATTATTAATTCATGGGCCTCCATAATTGATCTTTAAGTAAAGTGTTTGTTATACGCGGGATCCATGGGGTCTCCTCCCTAACGGATATTAACATGCACAAGTTTACTAGATAAGACTTCAATTAAAGTGATTTAATTTTAAGTAAAGTGTGTGGCATACGTGGGATCCATGGGGTCTCCTCCCTAACGGATATGTCACTCATAAGTTTACTAGATAAATTAATTCGTGATAACTGTAGGAGATTATTTGCATTAAATATGACTGCCCTTCGGTTGCATATTAACTGTAAATAGTTGTCCTTGGCGTTAAATTATGGTCATTACTTAGATGTGGATTTTAGATATAACCCCCCAACGGGGTCCCTGTTTTAATTCACATGGCCAGTTCTAAAGTATCGGCAATTAATTTCATTCGTCATAAGGATAAGTTGATGAGATAATGAAATTATAGGCTAGCTGCCTGTTTGGTGAATGCATGTGTAAACGTCCGTCATAACATGGCTTGCATGTGCGATTTACTGAGCTGTCGTGATATGTATAATCTCGTGGTTTTTGAGGTTTTCCCATGATTTTATGCTTATGTGTTAATGTGAATTACTGCTTACGTGTTTGCATGTTTCTGTTTGTTTATTTCAGTTATCAAAATGTCGTTCAATCCACTTATGACTGTTCTCAATCAAAACAAACTCGTTGGTCCGAATTATTTGGACTGGAAACGAAATCTGGACATTGTCCTTGCTGCGGATGACTATAAATTCGTCCTAAGCACCCCTGCTCCAGCAGACTTAACTGAGGAATCCACTGAAGAGGAAAGGGAGGCTCATCGGAAGTGGCATAGGGCTGATCAAATGAGCCGTTGCTACATATTGGCGTCAATAACCAATATGTTGCAATTGCAGGTTGAAAAGTTGCCTACTGCTACTGACATGATGTTGAGCCTCAAGGAGCTCTTTGGTGAGTCAGATAGGGCTGCTCGATTTGAGGCAATGAGGAAGATTATGACTTCCTTCATGCCAGAGGGAACTTCTGTGCGTGAGCATGTTCTCAAGATGATGGAAAATCTGAATGAGATAGAGCTGCTCGGGGGTCAAATCGATGCTGACACCAAGATCGATATGATCTTGCACTCACTCCCTAAGTCCTACGAGAATTTCCGTCTCAACACAATCCTGACCAAGAAGGACTATACTTTAGCCGAGCTTCTTGTGGATTTGGTTGCAGCGGAGGGACTCATGGGTAGGACTCCACAGGCGCTGTTTTCTGCGCAGTCTGGACCTTCTTCGTCGAAAGGCGGGAAGAAGAAAAAGCCTGCCAAGAAAAAGGGTGCTGCAAATAGTGGGAGCAAGTCGGTCGCGCCTTCTGGTGGCGTGAAGAAGCCAAAGGGGAAGTGCTTTAAATGTAGCAAGACAGGACATTGGAAAGCTGATTGTCCCCTTCTGAAGGGCAAAGATGGTACGTCTTCTACTTTGCTTGTTGAAACATGTTTCGCGGCTAGTTCTACCAGCATTTGGGTAGTAGATACAAGAGCCACTGATCATGTTTGTTGTACAATGCAGGGGTTCCTGCCACCAAGGCAGCTGAGTGAGGGCGAGATTATCATAAGCTTGGGAGATGCAACCAGAGTGGCAGCGGTTGCAGTGGGAGATGTGCATTTATCTTTTTCTGATTCAGTTTTAGTTTTAAAGAACGTTTTGTATGTGCCAAGTTTTAGAAAGAATTTAATTTCAGTTTCGAAACTTTTTGTGGATGGATATTCAGTTGTTTTTAATAAAAGCGTTTTTATTATGAGAAACAAAGTTGTTATCTGTTCTGGCACATTGGAAAACAATCTTTATACTATTACTAGTGCGCATCAAACTGAAACCAATACTCAAGTTTATGCATCTTCATCATTAAAAAGAAAACAATCTTCTAAATCGAATCAAACATATCTTTGGCACCTTAGATTGGGTCATGTCAACCTTAGGAGGATCCAAAGACTAGTGAGCAGTGGTTTCTTGGACTCTCTTCAAGTGGAACCATTCTCAGTCTGCGAGTCCTGCTTGGAAGGCAAGATGACCTCCAGGCCTTTTAAGGCCAAAGGAAATAGGGCTAATGAAGTGTTAGAATTGATTCACTCTGATGTATGTGGGCCTATGTCAATTCAAGCTAGGGGTGGTTTTGAGTATTTTGTGACTTTCACAGATGACTACTCAAAATATGGATACATTTACTTGATGCGCCGCAAGTCTGAATGCTTTGACAAGTTCAGAGAATTCAAGGCAGAAGCGGAGAACCGTCAAGGTAAAAGTATCAAGTCATTACGGTCTGATCGTGGTGGCGAATACCTTAGCGCTGAATTTAGGCAATATTTGTTAGAGAATGGGATTACATCCCAGTTGACTGCGCCTGGTACTCCGCAACAGAATGGCGTGGCAGAGAGGAGGAATAGGACTCTTTTAGAAATGGTGAGGTCAATGATGAGTTATGCTTCTCTACCCATCTCGTTTTGGGGATATGCCTTGGAAACAGCGGCGTACATCCTGAATTATGTGCCTTCCAAATCAGTTCCTAAAACCCCAATAGAATTGTGGTCCGGGCGAAAGCCCAGCATGAACCACATTCGGATTTGGGGCTGTCCAGCACACGTGTTGGACAAGGAAGCTGATAAGTTGGCATCTAGGACGGAAGTACGGCTATTTGTAGGATACCCTAAAGGAACACGAGGGGGTTGTTTTTATAGTCCTAAAGACCAGAAGGTAGTGGTGAGCACCAATGCCAGGTTTTTAGAAGAAGACTATATGCATGAGCATAAGACCCCAAGTGAAATTATTCTTTACGAATTAAGGGGAGACAATCAAGTACCAAGTGTACAAGAAGATATACCACAACAAAATGCACAACGTGTTGACCCTTATGTCACCACACATGAATTGCCTCGGCGTAGTGGGAGGGTAACTCGATTACCCAGTCGTTTCTTGTTAGTGGGAGAGTCCTCGGATTCAGTCCCCAGTGATGAACAAGAACCTGATCCCTGTACCTATAAAGAGGCAATCCAAGATGTTGATGCAGATTCTTGGCATAAGGCCATGGATTCAGAAATAGAATCCATGCATGCTATGGAGGTCTATGACCTCAAAGACCTTCCCAAAGGCAAGAAAGCCATTGGGAGCAAATGGGTCTTTAGGCGTAAGAGAGGACCTGACGGGAAGGTTACTACCTTCAAGGCACGGTTGGTTGCAAAAGGTTTTACCCAGAAAGAGGGCATCGATTATGATGAAACCTTTTCACCAGTAGCCATGCTAAAGTCAATCCGGATACTCTTATCCATAGCAAGTCACATGGACTATGAGGTTTGGCAAATGGATGTCAAGACAGCATTCCTTAACGGGAATCTGGATGAGGACATCTATATGCAGCAACCTGAGGGTTATGTGAAGAAAGGCCAAGAGCATCAAGTCTGGAAGCTAAAGAAGTCTCTTTATGGACTTAAACAAGCTTCCAGATCTTGGAATATTCGCTTTGATGAGGTGATCAAATCCTTTGGATTTGAGCAATGTCCAAGTGAAAGTTGTGTGTACAAGAGGTGCAACGGAAACGTAGTGGTATTCTTGATACTATACGTAGATGATATTCTTCTCATTGGAAACAATGTCAAGATATTATTAGACGTAAAGGTATGGCTTTCTGAACAGTTTCAAATGAAGGACATGGGAGATGCATCGTACATTCTTGGTATGAAGGTCACTCGTGATCGGAAGAAAAGAATGTTGTGCTTATCTCAAGCCGCCTACATTGATACTGTGCTTGCCCGTTTCAGCATGCAGAACTCCAAGAAAGGATTCTTACCTTTCAGACATGGAGTTGCTCTATCTCAGGATATGTGTCCTAAAACACAAAAGGAGATAGATGAGATGGCTAACATTCCTTATGCTTCGGCTGTAGGAAGTCTCATGTATGCCATGCTGTGCACGAGGCCTGATATCTGCTATGCTGTTGGCATGGTAGCTAGGTATCAGTCCAAACCTGGTCAAGGACACTGGATTGCGGTAAAACATATTCTCAAGTATCTGAAAAGAACTCGAGATTATAGTTTGGTTTACCAGTCTGACAATCTAGTTCCTTTGGGTTACACTGATTCAGATTTTCAAGGTGATCGAGATGAGAGAAAGTCAACCTCGGGTTATGCGTTTACCTTGGGAGGCGGAGCTATTTCATGGAGAAGCGTAAAGCAGAAATGCATCGCAGATTCTACCATGGAAGCCGAGTATGTTGCTGCTTCTGAAGCAGCAAAAGAGGCTGTATGGCTCAGGAGCTTCTTGTATGACTTAGGGGTGTCTGAGAGTTTGCCTGAGCGTGTAATCATTTATTGTGATAACGCTGGTGCAGTGGCAAACTCAAAAGAACCTAGAGCTCATAAAGCAAGTAAACACATAGAAAGGAAGTACCACATCATACGAGACATCGTAAAGCGAGGAGACATAGCTGTCACTAAGATTGCATCGTTGGACAACTTGGCAGATCCCTTCACGAAGACTTTACCCATTAAGGTTTTCGAGAAACACGTAGACGGCCTTGGTTTACGATACATTGCAGCTAGACTTTAATATAAGTGGGAGAGCATGTTTTTGCATTGTATACTAAAAGTTTAGCTTTAGTATAAGTGGGATATTGTTGGATTATACTGTAAAGCAAACTTTTAGTACGCTTTTGTATTATTCAATTTCCTTATTAACTGGAATAAATAAATTGTTATTTCACATTGTGTTGCTTTTATTTATGTTTTATATATATTAGCATGTCCACTTATTTAATATTGTAGACAACATGGTGTGTGGAGATCACACAGAAGATCTTGTTGTCAGTTCTTTATTAAATATAAATGGGTTTCACAACTGAGATGGTTATGGACAAAACCATCGGTTTAAGTTGTAGTGTAAACTTGGAATTAGTTTGTCTTGACTATTAGTTTACACTAATGTGCTGCGTCACATTGAAAGGATCACAGTTGAGATATGTTCTTCTATTCTGACATTGAAGAACCAAGATCTCGGTAACTCTGTTAATTCTTAACCTTAGATGAAATAAATTAAATATATGGAATAAATGTTCGTTGCTTTAATTTACCATAAGTGAGAATCCTTAGTGATTCAATATGCTTCGTATTTGGGCAACTACATTATTCGCATAGTAATTAATTTATTATCATTAAGGCACCATGTCCTGGACATCCAGGTTGATGACATCCCCTTAAGGAACTCAATAAGGATTATTGTATAAACCCTGCAGGTGGATTTAATCCGTACAATAATAAGTTTTGAGTGGTATTACTTAAGGAATTAAAAGATATTAATTAATTAAATTGTCAGAAGATTTAATTAATTAATGGATGTGGAACATCTTAAACATGGGGAATTAATTAAGTTTAATAGAAGCCCAGATTCAATTTGGGTTGGGCTGGGAGTGCAATATTAATTCTTTAATGGAATGAATTAATATTTTATGATTCGAATTATATTCAGGGCTGAATATAGAGATTTGGATCTATAAGGGAGCCCGAGCCCAACACCTTCTAAAGATCCCCGGTCTGGCCCAATTACCTGTTGGGAGACTTATTAATATGCGGTCTTTGTCAAACCCCAGTGACGTTTTTTTTAAAAGAGGCGAAAACCACAGGTGCAAGCCGTCAGCTCTAGGGTTTCACGAAGAGCAAAATTCGTCTCCCTCCGTTTGATAGATCGCCGCCCATCCGGTGTTCGAGCGGGGTTCGGGAACAGTCTGGAAGGTCTCTAGCGGAATCAACCTGTTCGTGATTGCTGTTGGTGGTTCCAAAAAGGGTACATCTCTAGTTCATTCTTATAGGAGCATGCTTAGGATCGTTTAATACCATGTATGTACGCGTTGGCATCCAACAACGATTCGTGGGAATGAACAGCCCTCACCGGCGTGTTCCTACAGGCACCAAGAAGTTGTCCTCAGCGTTCGTAATAATAGACAGTCGCCCTTCGTATGCGGCATTATTGGGACGAGATTGGATTCATGCTTACGAGTGTGTACCGTCAACTTTGCACCAAAAGTTGTTGTTCTGGGATGGCGATGAGGTTCAAGAAGTGGAGGCGGAGAAAGATCCATTCGCAGCGGAAGTTACAGCTGTAGATGCAACTTTCTACTATTCGAAGATGATCCCGTTGTCTGAAGTAATCGCCTCCATGCCTAACAAGGGAAATTATGAATGCGTGTTTAGCGATAATCAATTCAGAATTCAAGAGAAGGCCGATCCACGGCCTATGAATGAAGAAGATTATGATGAATTTCGAATGCGTCGAAATTCAATTTGAGCCGCACGGAGTAGGCTCTGTTACGAATACAGAGCCGTTCAGAGCAGGTTCCACAGAAGGTGGTGGGCGGTTCAAAACAGGTTCTGTGGCGAGTCCGGAGCCGTCTAGAGCCGGCCCCTTGGA